TAAGGTGTTGTGCTCACATTCTTAATTTAATTGTTCAAGATGGTTTAAAAGAGATTGATGCGGCTGTGTATAAGATTAGAGAGAGTGCCAAGTATTGTAAGAGTTCACAAGGTAGGAAACAAAGGTTTTTAAGTTGTGTAGCACATGTTGAAATTCAATCTACTAGAATTTTACAACAAGATGTTCCTACTAGATGGAATTCAACTTACATGATGCTTGATTGTGCTTTGTATTTTAAAAAAGCTTTAATTCATTTTCAAAAAGTTGATGCCAATTATGTGCATTGTCCTTCTGCGGAAGAATGGGGTAGAATTGAGAAAATATGCAAGTTTTTGAAAGTTTTCCATGATGTCACACTTGCCTTTTCCGGGACCAAATATCCAACTTCCAATCTCTACTTTCATAGAGTCTTGCAGGTTAGGTTGTTGTTACAAAATGAAATGAAAAGTTCAGATCTTTTTATGCAAAAAATGGCTTGTAAGATGTATGAGAAATTTGGAAAATATTGGTCAGAATTTAGTACATTTATGGTTGTTTCTGTGGTGTTGGATCCACGATATAAGTTGCAATGTGTCAATTGGGGTTACATGAGGATATATGGTCAGCATAGTATTGAATACGAGCTTGAGTTCTCTAAGGTTAAGGATGCTCTACGGAGGTTATACGAGGCTTATGAATCTACTCATTCTTCATCAAGCAAAGCTATTCCCACTACTAATGCTTCCAATGAAGCTTCTGATGATTTTATGATGGTAAACAAACTTTCTGATGCATTGACCTATATTGCAAGTGAAACAAATGCCAAGTTTTAATGATTGAGTAGCAAATCCTTATATAACTCAGCAGCTTTTAGTTTGCATCTTTATTTATAATCTGATTTTTATTTTCTGATTTTTTGTGTCATCTAATCTGATTTTTATTTTCTGATTTTTATAATCTGATTTATATTTTCTGATTTTTTGTGTCATCTAATCTGATTTTTATTTTCTGATGTAATCTAAATCTTGGTATATAGGATTTTGATAGTTTCTCTCAAGAGCAATCAAGTGTGGCAATCAAATCTGAAATTGATATGTATTATGAGGAGCCACTTATCCCTCGAGGCACCAACCTTGATATTTTGTCTTATTGGAGAACTTGTTCGGTCCGCTATCCTGTATTAGCTAAAATTGCTAAGGATGTTCTTGCTGTCCCCGTATCAACCGTGGCCTCCGAATCAGCTTTTAGTACTGGAAGTCGGGTGCTTGATTGTTATAGAAGTTCTTTAAAATCAGAAACGGTGGAAGCTATCATTTGCTTAAGGGATTGGGCCTTTGGGGAAGGTAATAAATGATTTTTTATACAAGTAATGAAGTAATACAATACTTCTAACTTTTATTTTTAGTACATGTCATACATTATTGATTGTAATTTGCTATTGTTTTTCTTGTAGCAAATATGGATCCTCAAATGGAAATGCTATGTGGATCAGTTATGAAGCTTAAGGTGGAGGACAACAACGACAATCATGACACACCACGTTCCTCGCCCGAACTTGAACAATTTGATGAGAATGCTTCTTCGAACATTGTTTGATCATTTCTGATTTTTTAAAAAACATTTATTTCTTTTTAATTGTGGTTTGTAATTTGTTTAAGACTAATTTTGTTATGTAATAGTTAATTAGGTATTTAGACTTGTTAGACTTTATTTGGTTTTCTACTTTTCTTAAAATCTTTAAGTTTGGAAATCATGTTTGAAAACATTAGGTAAAAAAAAAAAACAGGTTCTTGGTACAAAATCAGGCTGAAAAAAAAAACAAGTTCTTGGTACAAAATACATTCTGTTAATTGGTACAAAATCAGGCTGAAAAATCAGGTTATTAAAGTCAAAAAGAAAATTTAAAAAAATAAAATAAAAAAATCAGGTCAAATCAGGTCGTTTTCAGGTTGACCCGAACCTGAAAATATCAGGTTCAGGTTGGGGTTTTCAACCCGAAAACTTAAATGGATCAGGTTCAGGTTAGGATTTAGCTGACACGAAACCCGAAAACCCGAACACGAACCCGACCTGACCTGATCCGTTTGCCACCCCTAGTTGGAGGTAAATAATCCGGCAGTGACCTTCATCAACAGGTTACTTCCATTTTTAATAAAAAAAAAAAATTAAAATTGTTGAGTTTTTTGCCTCGAAAAAGAAAAAACCCATCATTTCTACTAACAATGGCGTGAGAATTGGAAAGGCTATTTCCTTTTAATAGTTTCTTTTCCCCCCAAATGCGTCCCTCATCATTTCCTCTTTGGAGAAAAAAACAAAGCTCTTTAAAAAAAAAAACCCTCAAGCTTCCTCTTCAAGATTCTCCATTAATGTGGGATTGTACTACTCCTCCGCTCGCAAAAGTACAAAAGATCAACTCTGCTGAAGGTATATTCCTATTTTTTGTTGTGTTGTTCTTGATTTTGCCATTAGTGGCTTCTTTGATATAGAATTTTGGTCTTTTTTTTTTTTTTTGAAATTTTTTTTTCATGATTTGGAGACAACATTAGGGGTTGGTTACACGTTCATGTCTTACCAGCAGAAAGGGTTACTAGCTGCAGTGTCTTCTGTGTTCCCATAAGCTGAGAATAGGATGTGTGCTAGGCATGTGTACTGTAACTTCAAAGCGGTTTTTGGTGGGGACCTGGAATTCAGAAAACAATTATGTATAATGACAAAAATTAGCACTGAGAATGAATTTTTCAAAAACATTGAAGTTATGAGGTCCATTTTGTAGATGCTGCAGAAGATTTGCTAAACAGAAATTACAAGAAATGGTGCAAGGATTTCTACAATTCAATGTCATGTTGTGATAGTGTTGATAGCAACATGAGTGAGGTTTTTGATGCCTACATTCTCACCTCTAGGCATAAGCCAATCATTACCAAGCTTGAGGACATTAGAGAAGGATTAATGGATAGACTACACAAAAAAGAGATGAAATTAGAAAGAAAGAAGTCATCTTGTGCCCAAGGATACAACATAGATTAGAAAAGAACAAGATTTGGGCTAGGGGCTAGAATGCTTTCTAGGATGGGGCCTTCTGCTATGGGGTGAGGCAGGGGGCCACATAGGAGAAATTTGTTGTGAACTTGCAGGAAATGACTTGCAGCTGCAATGCTTGGAAAGTTAGTGGCATACCCTACAAGCATGTTGTGGTAGCTATTTGGAACAAGGTGGTCCAACCAGAACACTATGTGAATGACTATTTCAGCAAAGAGAAATACATGAAATCATATGACTTCCTGCTAAAGCCTTTGAATGGTCCTCAAGAATGGCCACCAGCTGATTCCTTTGTGATTCCACCTAAATTGAAAAAGGTGCATGGCAGACCTAAGACTAAGAGGAGATATCAATCTGGAGAGACCACAACTACTGGTAAACTGAGCAAAACAGGAAATCCTTATATCTGCATCTTATGTGGCTTGAAAGGGCATAACAAAAAGGGCTGCAGGAATGCTTCAAGAGAAGAAAGCCATCACAAACCCACAGGAGAAGTGTCAGCAACTCATGCAGATGCAACTAATACATCTATTCCCATACATATGAGAGGATTTGGGGTCTACACATACCCTAATGACTGTGAAAGAGTTGCATCAATAAGTATCTCTTACTTATTCTTGTATATATGGTAATTCTTGCAAATTTGTTAATTTTATAAGAGGTCTCAAATAAACACATACCCTCTCAACAACAACCACAAAGGGCCTTCTACATTGACATTGAAAGAGAGCAAACAGTGTACTCCTTCAAGTCAGGATTAATTAGTACCCTATGTCAAGTCAACAACAAAGCCAAAATACCAACACCATTTCAAGTCAAGCATTGCAGATATAAAATTAGATTTCCACCACATAAACAAATTCATTTTATCGTTAATAGAGTAAATTCCTACACTTAAGTCATTTTTCATTACAGGATTTAGCTAGAAAGAAGAAAATTAGCAAGCAATAGCTGCATCAGGTACAATCTAATACTTTTTAATGCTTAAATTGTTCATTTCTTCAATGCAAACCAAATTCACGCCACAACCAACACAAGAACAACCTTCCATAGGTCACAATTAATCCCCAAATTTATCCTAGAAGCCCTTCTTATTTTCAACATCAAATAATCACTTTCAATCTTCAATTCCTTGCATACTAGTTTGCTTGCTTCAATTCCTTCCTCATAGACATAACTTCATTCTTAAATGAGTTCCTGCTTCTCTTGCATAAGCCCCAATATAACCTCAGTATGCCAAGCATTGGGGTCTTCCATGTCCACCCACTTAAAAAACTTGCAGCCCCTCCTTTCTGTTTCTGCATCATAGTCAGGGCAAGCAAGGAACCTTCTACTAGGGTTGTCCTTTGTCCAGGCCCTGCTCTTAGACAATAACAAGCCACAGTGACATCTACTTCCTGATATGCTCAGCCTTGACATGTTTAAAAAAAATTGTTCAATTTTATCTGTAATTTTTTGAAATGCTTCTTATAATTATTTATTTATTTTTTTTCCCAATTTGATGCAGTGTCTATCTCCTTGTTGAAGATGATTATAGGGCATCATATATATGGAAGCAGCTAATTTTTTGAATTCCAACAACTACTTTGTAACAGAAAATTGTGAAACTCTCCAAACATTAGTACCTTCTAATAAATGTGTTAGTAGTTTATTTATTTATTTATATTTATTTATTTATTTATTTTTTGGCAAATGGTAACTGGTTGTAATGGGGTAAATACTTGTTTGAGTACTCTACTTGCAACTCTCCAAACGTGAGTATTCTATCTCCAACTTTTCTCAAATATCACTCTCCATTTTAGTTTGCTCCAACAACATTAGATAACAATACCAGCCTAAAGGCTAGAGCGGCTAATATTTTCGGTTATTAGGGTCCTAAAGAACGCGCGTTATAAAAGGTTGAGAAATTCTCGTTGGTGTGTTGGGCGTTAACCCCACGCATAGTCTAGGATAAAAAGGGAATCAATCCATCAATTAATGAAATCAAATCAAAGAAACAAAAATGTCGTCATAATTTTAGTTGAATTGATTTACTTTTTACACCAAACAGATTAAATTCAGAAATTCAAAAGCCAATCATATTTTCAGACCAACAAAACCACCTAATCGCTGACTTCTCACCTACAACTTCACCTGCTGCTCATTCTTGCCTTCCACCCTTTCCAATTTTCTCCACCTAATTCCCTCATTTTCAATATCCCCCAATTCTCCTATTATTCGATTAGTGTTAGGGTTAGGGTTTGTGTTATTCCGCCATGGATTTACCTCCGTTGACTGGCGGAGGTGAAGAATCGGGTGCGCCATTTGAGTGGAGTGATCTCTTTGACTTTACAATCGACGATCAATTACTGCTTAATCTGGATGTTTCCGATCAGCCGAAGGAGCAGCCACCGGTGCTACTACCGCCGGTGACGAACGCGGAGGATAATGGAAAGACCGTTGCGGTGAATGGAGGTGAATCGGGGTCGTCTGATCGGGTGCGAAAGCGAGACCCGAGGATGATTTGCGAGAACTTTTTAGCGGGGCGGGTGCCGTGCGCTTGTCCGGAGTTGGATGCATTGATGGCGGAGGAGGAGGAAGAAGAGACCGGGCCCGGAAAGAAGCGGCCGAGGATGGGGCGGACACCGGGTGTAGCGAAGTGTCAGGTGCCCGGGTGTGAGGTCGATATTCGTGAGCTCAAAGGGTATCACCGGCGACATCGGGTTTGTTTGGTGTGTGCTAATGCTACCTCGGTTGTGATTGAGGGTGAGAGTAAAAGATATTGTCAGCAGTGTGGCAAGTAAGTTAATTTTTAAGTGTTGGGTTTTTTCAATTTGTTTATTTACTTTTGTTTTGAGGTTTTAGTTTAATTGTTCATTTGGTGTTTAAAAGCTGTTTAGTTGTCAGGGTTATGATTTTCAAAATTCTTTAGGATAGGTGATGAGAATTTTGAGCCAATTGAATGGTGGAGGAATTCAAAATTTCGCAATTGAAACCCAAAATGTAGAAACTTAGAATAATTATATTGCTACAGTGGTTGGTGGATTTTACTATTAGTTGCTAATAAGTTTTGATATTAGTTTAACCGTTTAAGAATTACGGTTGGTGAATGAATTTATATTTTGTACTTTGTATTTTGTAATCAAGCCAATGTATTTGGTAAGGCTTCACCGAAAAACTAAGCTGTCGATCCGTAGAGCTTTATGTTTTCTGTTTTATTCTTTTTGTTTTCTTAGAATAGAATTGAATCTTTTTTGGTGGCTCAGTTGCAAAAAACAGAATTGAATCTTTTTCGGTGGCTCAGTTGCAAAATAACAACTTTTATGTAATTTTTCCCACCTCTCTTGTCAGATTGTTTGTAATTTTAGTTGCAACAACCTTCTCCATATTGCAAAAAAATTGCCAAAGCGCCTTAAAAGTTCTGCCTCCACTGCCATGGGATTGTGATTGATGACTTAACATTATGAATGTGTTTCATGGATAATTCAATCAAACTTCTCTCTGTCCAAAATTGATTGTCATTGTTGACAACTTGTGCTCAAAATGAACTCGCTGACAACAACCGTTGACAACTGTCACTGACTCTTCAATATGTGTAACTTGTTCTTGTGATAAAAAAAAATTAAGCTTTGTTTTGTTGCCTACCAGAATTTGTGTGATCCAAGTGATGTTGATATGAGAATAATGGATGTGGCTGTCGGAAAGGGAGAGAGGGTGGGGATGGTCTTGGTTGTGTAGTAAGAAGAGGGGGGGGGGGGGCGGTGAAGGAGTATAATACTGGTCTAAATTCTTCATTTTTAAAAGAGTTAAAATCATAACCTATCAGTTGAAATCTTTGTAACATTTTTGAAAATTTTGAAATTATGAGCATAACCAAAATTTTAGTTTTTAAGAAAAATCTTAAATTAGGAATTTACACTGCAAGCCCAAAATCTAACCAAATACATTTTATAAACTTGATATTAATAAAATATGCAATGGGACGCATCCAATGAGATCCCACTTAAGTATATTATCTCTTATAGATTAATAGATATTTATGGTCAAAGTTTTAAATATTTGACCCAATTATTTGCAATGGGGCGAAAAAATAGGGGTAGAGGTAGTATGTGAACATATGTGAAAATTAAATCTACTCAATAACTAATATTGCCTTCGTTTTTAAATACTTGCTCCACTTTCCATTTTCGGCCGTTTTTAAATACTTGCTCCATTTCCTTATTTGGAAAGCTTTTACAATATTTAATTCATTTCTCTTTAGTAGAACATAAATCATATTTAATTAAGTTCATATTCTCTCTTCTCCAATTCTCTCAACTACTTTTGTTTTTTACAATTTTTTATTCTTCCACTAACCCCACTACCTTTGTATTTTATTACTTTCTCGAATTCCTCCTAAAACTCCGCGCATGGAGAAATGGAGCAAGTATTTAAAAACGGGGGGAGCATTAAATTTGGTCACCTCAGAGATATGAAAATAATGTTACCACTTACCACTTTTCAGCTTCAGCTCTACCATCACAACAACATCCCAACCAGCTATATCATTACTATCATCTAAACGCTAGTGCTGGCTTTTGCAAGTTTACACTACCATAGTGACTGACCTGATTATTTGAAATTTCTCTCTAATACCTGCTTTTGGAAGGGATCTGTATCTTGCATTTAATGGCTGCAATGCCTAAAGGGGGGAGTTGGAGAGAAGGATAAAAGTTTAGAGGGAGGGGTCTGCAAAGGAAGAAAGGCTAAGCTATAGGTAGCCGTGTAAAGAGGGTAAAGGTGAGGAGAGGAGAAGAAAAGCGGTAGGTAATCAGTTGAGGGAAGGAGGAGAGAGGTCTTTGCTTCACTAGAAAGGAGGGAGACTAGATGAAGTGAGGGAATGAGATTTTAATTCTAGGAATCATTATTGATGTACATGTGGGTTTATCTTCTCACCTGATTTGATGGTGAAGTATTGGACAATAATTATTCTTATATTATTGTTAGTTTCTATAATTAAACACTAGATTATAAGTTGGAAGACAAAGATGTGATGTTTCAGTCATGTTTATAAATTTGTAGGATCCATTCAATTTTGTTTCTTCACGATACGAAGTAATTGTTTGTCATCCCAAATACCTTGTAACTTATTTAACTATTGGGATATGATGGTGATGGAGGTGGAGACTAAGTCGACTCAAGAAACTTTGGATGATCTAATTTAGTGTGGAAGTCAATGTACTCCTTCCTCATTTTTTTTTCAAGTGTTACAATTTGACTGATACATTCTTAGGCAATGTAAACGATTTTCATATAATAAGATGTAAATAGGGTAGTTAAGGTGATTAAAAATTGTAAAAAATGATATTGAAGTTAATAATTTATTAAAGATTAAAGGATATGAGAATAGAGAAATAATCAAAAAAGGTATGAATTGGTAGGAGTGGGGACCATAAGAAGAAAAAGGCAAGATATATAAAGTTACTCCCTCCGTTCTTTGATGTTCCACTCAGTTACTATTGATATATGCAAATAAGAAAATATTGAAAAGGTTAAGTAGATGTAAGATAAAGTAAGAGAGAGAGAGTAAAAAAGTTGATGAGTGAAACAAAAAGCCGAATAAAGTAAGAGAGATTGTGTGGAAAGGTGTAATTGATGTGGGGTAAAAGGGGTAATATGTTAAATGGAAAATTCCTAAAATAGAACAAAACAAAGAAAGTAGAACAAAAAAGAACAAACCAAAGTGTAAAGTAAAACATAAAAGAATGTACAGAGTAGTAGTTTGCCAAAAAAGGAATAGCAACACCTAAAATAAAGGCCGATTAAGGCAAATGTAACACTTGAAAAAAAACAAAACAAGGGTTTTGGCGTCTTGCTTTTGTAGGGGACTTTAATGAGGCTCTTTATTGAAAAAAAGCTGGAGCAAAAGTAAAAGTTGTGCGCCTCATGTGTGGCTCATGCTCCTTAGGCGTGCCTCCTTGAATGTGCTTTGCCAAGCTTAATAGCACTTCAGCAAAAGGCGCACTTATATACACAGAAGAAGTTGAAGACATAGACATTATAAGCTTGATAGTGTGATAGTAGAGTATTAAAGTAATTGGCAAAATAATTAATTTGTGGTTTTAATTGATTTTGCAAAAAATCTTAAAGCACTGTTCTCTCCATCTATACTTGGTTGATACGGTCTACCTTTATTATAACCCTGAATCTCTTGGGCCGACTAACCATGAAAGTATTCTTACTCCAATTTATTACTCTGTAGAAAAAAACTATATTATGAGGGATCTTGTTGTGTTTCTCTCAATGTGTGTGTTCCAAAATATCTAAGTTTCATAAAGTTTACTTATTTGCATTTAGAGATATTTGGTCATAAGCAAACAAATGTTGGCTTGGTCGCCCTTGAATCTTGAGAGTAATTATGAAAAAAATATCCTTCAAAATTTGAGGACAGTTACATAAGGTTAACCCAGCTATCCTTTTTGAAATAGTGTTGCCCAATTTAGCAACTTAGTCAGATTATGATGGCAGGGATAAGGTAGCATTTATGATATGCAGTCATATGGGAAGAGATATGATCAAGATGTAGGTGATAAGAGATAATGAGGGAGTTACTTCACTTTAGTAAAAAAAAAGTGCAATCAACAATACTAAAATATTTGGGTTTTGAGGAGGCATTTAGTTGCTTCAACTAGGAGGTGCTAAGAGCCTAAGAACCCATCAAGGGGTTGCAAGAGAAGTATTTCCTCATTGAATCTACTAGTAATTACTACCTCCATTTCATATTATGTGCAACAAAGATATTGACACGGGCTCTTAGGTAAAATTTGCTTATGAGTGTTAAATGAAGAGAGAAAGATAAACATGCATGTGATAAGGAAATATATGAAATGACAACTTAAAAAAGAAAGAAAACATTTGTCGCACATAATGTGTAACAACCGTTATTAGTAAATGTTGCACATAATATGAGACATGGTAGTAAGTGGAATTAGGTTAAAATTCAAAAGGTAACAGTCCACACTAGAGTTGCTTTTATGATAAGTTATAAAGTTTTATTTACAAAGTTATTTTTTGTATGAGTTTTATATATTTTGGCCGGAGCTAATACAAATGAGATAGCATACTTCTCTTTTTTTTTTTAAAGAAATTTATAATTTGCAACAATTACCTTTTAAGGAACATCTTAAATATTTGCATTGTTTCTCTTTAAGGACATCCAACATCTCATTTCACACAACAAATACTCAATGTAACCTTATTATACATTTCTAAGTTACTTATTCACATGTTTTGTGGGTATTTTGTATTATTTTTGTGGTATCTTATATCCTATTGCCACTTTCTCTAATCTTGTGCCTCTCCCTCATGTTGCAATATACTTCCTCCGTTTTTCTTTTTTTAATTGCACCATTTGTGTTGGGCACAAAGTTTAAGATAGGTATTTGGTGTATGAACATAAACAAAAAGTGTATGAAAGTATACCCATTATAGAAATGATGCAATTAGTATTCAACTTCCCTAAAAGGAAAATGATAAAAAAAAGGACGAAGTATTAAATACATAGGAAGTACAATTTATTTTAGAAATATATATTCAAGCGCCAAATAGGTAAATGGTGACAATGCCCTATAAGTAACTATCAATAGCTAATGAATGTGGTTGCTGAATGACAATTAATCAACTTTAACTAATTAAAAAAATTAAAGTTATATAAGTCAATAATTTATTTTTTTCCCCTTTAGAGCAGATTTCCTCCATTTTTTCTTAATATAATTTGAAAAAAATTCTCCTTTAATTTTTTTCAAAACAAAAGGAATTAGAACCTAACTGAAGCCACAAAAAGTAGATTATGAGATCGGCAGTCAAAGTGTTGTTTAAAAAAAAAAATGTGATTGCATGGGCATAAATCTAGTTATATCAATTATATTCAATTAGTGGTTCAATTAATTATAGAATTCAATTTGAAGTTAATTTTGATGAATCTTGTGACAGGTTCATTGATGAACCTCAAATTGCTAGTTAAATTGGGGTCGTTTGCAGATTTTGTAATATAAAGGGTCTTCTCATAAGTAAACTTTTACTGATGTTTTGGAGTTAAACATAAATAAACAAGTGAGATCGTAGAGGTGTGTTGGTTATGGTAAAGTTTTGAAGAATGTGAGGCAGTATATTGTTCTGATAGTATAATGATTGATTACATGCTAATTAATCATCCTCGGTGCTTCGTGGCAGGTTTCACGTGCTGTCAGATTTTGATGAAGGAAAACGTAGTTGTAGACGTAAATTAGAGCGCCACAACAATAGGCGGCGAAGGAAGTCTGCTGATTACAGAGGAACTGTTGAAAAAGAACCTCAGGGTGATGTGCAGACAGAAGATGTCTTTTCTGATGGAGAAGCAGGGAAAGGTATCATAAATATCTAATTCGTATTTGTAGTTAAATTTTGTTTTCTAGAGTATTTTCTTCAAACAAAATAGAGCCCAGATACAAGCTTAAGACATCAGCAATCCACAGATCTAAGTATTCTGAATCAGTAATTTTATGATATATATATGTCTGCCTGCAAGTATAAAACATATAAGTCTGCCAGCATTGCTTAAAGTTCTAGGAGTTAAATGCCTGATTTTTCCCTTTTTCTTTCGCAATTATATTGTGAAACTAACATTGCAAACGTCGTAACTTATACAGTCTGAGAGACAGGCCAACGTATTAGAAGGTAGATTTTCGCTTCAATACCCATCAACATTTCTCTTTGGTTTTTCCTTCATGTCCTGAGATTCTAGAGAAGTGTATAAAGGCTCCATGACTAATCTTGATCAACATGTTACCATCCGTTCAAGTGACCTGTCTTTTGCAAAACACTGATGTGAAAATCCCAGGTTTCTAACATTTTGTTCAATATCAATATTTGGGCTCCTCTTTAAATCAGTTATGCTCCTACTCAGATAGTTTACTGCTACACAAACAGACAAAGTTACAACGGGTCTCTCCATTTTAACTTTTCTTTGCACAAAAAGGCATAGAAGGAGGACCAATTAAAAACATTATATTTTATACAATATTATGAAGATTATATCTAGACGATAATATCCTTAAAGCTATTGTCATTTGTGAAGATAATCTGATATCTGGATTTAATCAATGTTCTTCTGTGTGATGAATAGGCTTCTCTAGCAACATAATGTAATGTCTTACAAATTACGTGTCTTTTATGACAGAGAATGCATGGTCAAGTGGTCAAATAGCTGAGAAAGAAGATTCTAAAGATAAAACTTTGTCAAACCTTTGCTCTGCTCTGGAATCTCAGAACATTGAGAGTGACAGCAATTTAACTTTTACTCCAGTGGATAAAGTAATAGATAATTTGGAGCGAGAATATTCCCCACCTTCTGATACTAAGAGTGCTTACTCATCTGCGGTAGGTTCAGTTTAGCCTTTTTCATTGTTGGCTGATTCAATTTCTCCTAAATTTTATAAACTTCATTAGTTAATAATATTTGATGTAGTGCCCTACAGGTCGTATCTCTTTTAAACTCTATGACTGGAACCCTGCAGAATTCCCTCGACGACTTCGGCACCAAGTATTTTTACTTCTCATTCTGCAGTATAGTATTGAAATTGTTGTTTCTTTCTGAATGATACCTATCACATGTAGCTGACTTGGTAGCATATTTCTACAGATATTCCAATGGTTGGCCAGCATGCCTGTTGAGTTGGAGGGCTATATCCGTCCTGGTTGTACAATATTGACTATATTTGTTTCAATGCCACAATATATGTGGGTAAAGGTAAGGTTTAAATGATATGATGTAATGCTTTGCATTATACTTTGCATTGTTCATATAAGAGGTAAATTTTGATGAATATATAATTTTCTTAAGTAGTAGAATAGAAGAAAATATTCAACAAAAAATACTACCTCGGTGTTTTTTTTACTCACTTCTATTTATATTTTTTTTTTTGTTATACTCACTTTTACTTTATCTCAATGGCAAACCCCTTTTACTCTCTTACCTCTCTTACCCCATATATTTATACCTTTCCATACACTCTTGTACTTTGTCTGCCTTTTTCTTACACCCACCTAGCTTTTTACTCCATATCTCATTCTTTGTCCACGTTGTTCTTGTATTCAAATTTACTTTTTTGATTTTTATATGCGACAACTAAGTTGAACCCAAAAGAAAAAAAAATAATTTTAAAGGCAGTTTAAAAAGTTTTGTGAAATTCGTTGATTGTCAATTGTAGATGCCGTATGGCTTTAATTGATGAAATATAATGTCCTTTAGGACTTTTTCAAAAAAATAAAATAAATGTTTTGTGAAATTAAGTCATTGGATCCTGTTTAATTTAAAATTGTTTGGTATGGTTTAGGGTGAGCTTTAGTATAAATAAAAGTAATGTAGGCATGAAGGTGAACTGAACATACCCACTGAGAGTAAAAGGTTTATTTGGGACCTCAGTACAGTATTTAATTTATAATTCTTATTATCATTATAACCATTGTCATTATTATCTATTAAGGAAGGATTTAATATTACTCCCTCCGTCTTGAATATTTTGAGTACTCTTTGTCTGGTTTAGATTAGTTTAAACACTTCCAATTTAGGAAAAAACCCACTATTATTTTAATACATCTCTCTTTCCACTACCAAAAAGTTATAGCCCAACCCTCTCTCACATTCAAATAAAAAAATGCCATCTATCTTCTCTCACATCTAAATAATACCCCACTCTCTTTTATCACATCTACTTTTCTGTAAGTAATAATTAATAATGCCACAACAACTTTATACTTGAACTCTATACCCTCAAAAGTTTTGGGATGGTGGGTGACTGCGTGTGCTAGTAATTACCTAATTTCAATGGAATGGTTCATTTGTAATATATTTGTTTGGTTTTTCTGGCTGAAATAGATTGTTTGCGCCTTATAAAACCACTAAGGAGTATCCAATCATAAAATCCAACTCTATTACCTTGTGAAGTAAATTTTACTTCCTCCGTTTTTATTTATTTGCCAATCACCACTTTGGCATGCACTATAAGATATTAGACTAGGTATACGGACAAATTGACTGAAATAACTTTACCAACGATAAGAAGAAAGTATTAAGATCTTACAGTTTAAATTTTATAGTTTAATCCATCCGTTTACCTTTTCAAATCACTTTCTCAAATATTGTGCCAAGGTGTATTGCAAGTAAAAATAGTATGACTTTTGAAGACTTAGTTCAAATGTATATGAAAGAAATTTTTACTTGATGTGCCTTGGTTGCTCAAAATCTTTCCTATAAAAAGTTCTGTATTCTCTGATATTGCCAAATCTTTTTTACACTAGATTGACCTATTCATCTTGACTTATTATTAATAAAAAAATTATATCCTTGTGCAGCTGTTTGAAGACCCTGTTTCTTATGTACAAAACTCTGTTGGACATGGAGGAATACTGTCTGGCAGAGGCGCTGCCTTGGTTTACTTGAATGATTTGAGTTTTCGTGTTATGAGAGGTTAGTTGATGCTTTGCTATTACAAGACCTATAATTGTTTCATCTACTAATATTGGTTTTTGATCCTTGCACTAGGGATTATGTATAGGCTTCCTGCAAAATTTCAGAACATCAGTCACAATTATCTGCTGTGGAAGATTGAAAAAATTAATTTTCTTAGATGGTTTGTAATTTTTTATGCATGTCTATGCTTCTGGGAAACCTCAGCTGAACCTGTTAATTGTTAGACTTGCTGAAGGGTACTTTTTTGTTGATAACTAGATGTGGATAGAAAAAATTAATTTTGTTACAGATTGTTGCTTATAATGTTTCTCAATGTTCTGTTAGGATTTTAGGAAAGTGAGTGTCAGATTTTAGAATTGTAATTTGTTCTTCCATCACCTCTTATTTTCCCAATAGAAACGGGTGGTATAGCCTTTAAATTTTCAAGCATATGCATTTTCTCATGTACAGAAGGAACTTCCGTGATGAAAGTGAAGGTTGCTGTTCGGGCCCCAAAACTTCACTATGTCTATCCTCCTTGTTTTGAGGCTGGAAAACCAATGGATTTTGTTGCCTGTGGAAGCAATTTACTTCAGCCAAAATTTCGGTACGATGAATTTTTTTAGTGTTTTTTTTTATTTATTTAATTAGTTGTGTTATTCGTCATTCTAGTTTTTCTATATTAAGAATTGCAATATTTGGTGGTTGTGCATAATTTTTTGTCCTTTATTTGTGTCAACCTTTGTCCCTTTTCTTTTACACTTCATTCTCTTGCAGATGACTTATCTGAATTGGTCCAGGGGTTGCTGTTGCATCACCTGGATCTATAAATACTACATATGTTTTATTTTATTTCTAAGCCTTTACTGGTATTAGAAATCTTAACCATTGCTTTGAGTGTCTGTCTTTTGTTTCCAAATTTCTCTTTTTCCCCTCACTTATCGTTTCAACTAGTTTACTAAAAATGGCAACTCTGCATATGAATATTATGTTATGTACAACTTTTGCATGGCGATTTGCAACACTATTTATTAGTGCTCCAAAGGTTGCTAATTTTCTTACTCATTGTTGTTTGAAATTTGTTTTACTACTTGAACAAGGGAAGGAAGGTAGTTTACTGCATAGCTGATTATGTAGGTTGTATTTGGGGTGTATAATTTGATGTATATTTTGGGATGTGTTAAGAACAATGAAATAGCTGGATATCATTGAATCCAAAAAGGCATTTTATTCAGCTTTTTTTTAATTAGAAATTATGTGGACTTATTTTATCTGAACTTGTCTTGTCATAAGAAGATTATATTGTTTAAAATAAACTTATTTGTGTATGAAGTTATCTGGTAAAAACATATTATGTCTTAAGCTCTTAAAAATAAAGCAGAACAGTACATGGCCATAGAGTTATTAGTTTGTGTTTGTTGAAATAGTGTTCTGAACATTGGCTGGTGTTAAAATTAAAGGAAAGTAAGGCAAACTTAGTCCTAAAGGCTATGTATTAAAAGCTAAAATTGCAGTAAACACATATCAAGCGTTGAATAAGATTAAATGACTCGTATTTTTTCTTACGTATGACATTAATAATATATATATATATTTTTTGGACATTTGATTAATGCTTATGCATAGTCCTTAGGGCTACAAACAATATAGAAAATCCCTTCATTAAATTTTGTGAAAGACTGAAAGTTAATAAAGCCTATTTATGGTTTGAAAGAGATCGTTATTTCAGATTGTTTATATATTATAAGTCCAACATTTATCGGACTTACTAGATTTGGATGCTTATATATGATCCTTACATGTTATAAGAAGATTTTCGTGATGAGTATCTTGGTAATGGCATGTACTCAGTCTGTTTTCTTTTGATGAATAGATACCTATATTTAGAATATTTAAATAAAAAACAACTCAAAACGGAATATGGGTACACCTTTCGAAATGGAGGAACTGCTTTAGAAATGTGAAATTTAATATTTGAGTCATTTAGCATCTTTATGAATGTACTTTAAAAAAAAATCATTTGGTACACACATTTTATTTGTTAAGGGATTACTTTTGACCAAAGAGGTTTTGCTAATAGGTCTCTCGTATCATTTGCGGGAAAGTATTTGGCTCATGATTACTATGTCGCTTTTCCACGTGGAAAAGAAGACAAGCCTGCCATTGATTATGATTATCAGTTCTGCAGAATATATGTGCCACACACTGAACCAAGTTACTTTGGTCCTGCGTTTGTTGAGGTTAGTAACGGATGAAGCTCATCTCTTCTTTGAAATTGTATGCACTGTTTATTTGGGAGCTGTCTATCACTTGGTTTTGTACTTTCTTGTTTAGTTTTCAGTCCAAGTATAAATAGCTGTGTAGCATAGAGACGGATACAGATGCGTGGATGGGGACGAAAAATGGCAAAATCAAAATTTATAACATGAGTTCAGTGTGCATATTGCCAGAAAGAAAAAAATTAAGAATTTGTAAATTCAAAACATCATACAAAAGTCACTACAACAAATTACAAGTGAGTTGCATATTTAAGAGAAAGTAATTAGAAGATAGAATCTTGGAAACGTAAAGGGAAAAGACAAATGAGTAGAGTAGCAAGAAAAGTGAAAGAAGTGAAACTACAACTTTCAACTATTGGTCATGGTTGCCTGCCTTGTAGCTGTTAGAGAGAAAAAGTAGGCGATGTGACTAGGTGCCGTAGTTCAATTTTCAATCCTTTTTTTTTTTTTTAATTTTTTTTTTAATTTTTTTTTTTTAACAAGCCAAGTAAAGAAACCCTAAGCACAAGCTTGGTTCACCTCATTATCTCCCTTTGAAGAAGTGAGGGCAAAGGATGAAGGAAAACAGATTGGGGGGGGGGGGGTAGGGCTAGTAGGGGACATGACAAGTGAAAAAACGAGGAAAAAAAAATCTCAAATACAGTTTTATCAAGTGTCAACCTATGAACCTATTTATATTTTTATTTTTTTTTTATATTTTTTTTGTATTTTATTTATTTATTTATTTATAACCTATGTTCTCACATGATCTCAATAATATATTTGGTCTTCTGGGCGGGGGTAAAACAATGATTTTGTTTCTTTGTTATAGGTATAAAAATAAGTCGGGAGTATAGGAAGCTCATTTGCCAAATTTTATACTCCTTATTTGCACAGGGCCTTTGAAAAGGTTGTGACAACCATGAATATATCCTAAAACACTAGCCTTAAATATGTACAATTGAACTTTTGGTCTTAATCCCATAGCTGCCGAGGAGTTACGTTTTATATGCTCTAAGCATTCTCATTTCAAAACTTCATGTATTAAGAGAAATTGTGTGATCTTACAGGGAGTTTATTGTTTGTCTTTTTACAAGAGCGCTTCTTGCTACTCTTTGGCTGTTGTTGAGTATGACTTTATCTATTTCTGTTTTTTATTAAGTGTAACATTTCCCTTTTGCGGAAGTTGCATAATAAGTGCAACATCACTACTTATGGATATGAGCTCTCTCTCTCTCCTCACCACTTGGGACCACTTTATCTCTATCTCTCTCTCCAAAAAGATTGTACTTCCCCTACATGTTTTGCACTTATAAAAAACAGAGAAAGTATATTAAAACAACTTGTAATACTTTGGTCTTAATTTTAAAGTGTTTTTGAGTAATTATGATTCGCATGTTTATTGACTAGTCTTTTGTAAATAATCCGTGCAGGTCGAGAATGAGTGTGGTCTATCCAATTTCATACCTATTCTCATTGGAGATGAGCATGTCTGTTCTGAAATAAAGATGATACATCAGAAGTATGATTGCTCGAATTGTAGAAAAAAGTTGCAATGTATACCAAGTGGTTCTTCGTATGGAACTTGTGAAGTTTCATGTTCAAGACAAGCTGCACTGTCTGAATTTATGCTGGATGTTGCATGGTTGCTTAAGCAGCCTTGTTCTGAGAAGCTTAACTGCATATTAACGTCTTCTCAGATTCAGAGATACAATTTCTTGTTAAAGTTCTTAATAAGCAACAAATCCACTTCTATCTTGGAAAAAATTCTACAATCTCTGCAAATTGTTTTTTTTTGGGATGAATTCCTGTGATGTGATTAATAATGATACTGATAAGGATAGAAGGTTGCTGAAGGAATATATTGCTCAGGCTAATGATTTTCTTCGCCAAAGCGCTTACAACAAAGAGTTGATTCTGAAGCAGGGTGGGGAATGTGTCTCAAATGTTGACACATGTTTGGGAAGTTTCCCTCATGACGACTTGCTGTCTGTTGATCATACTGCTTGTCAGGTAATGCTTCACCACTTTATCAGATGATCCAATAAACTTCTTTATGAAGAATTTAAAACTACATTTTTGCAATGTTAACTAGTAGTTGTGGTACATTCTGAACTAGTTCAGATCTTATCTCATTGCATGTAGCCATCTGTCTCGACCTCCATCTCATCCTCCTCTCCGTCATTTTTCCAGCCATCGCCTTAATATTACTAGTAATTGGAAAACTAAGGCGGTACATTCTGAACTTGATCAGATCTTATCTCGTTGCATGTAGCCATCTGTCTCGACCTCCATCTCATCCTCCTCCCCGTCATTTTTCCAGTCATCGCCTTGATATTACTAGTAATTGGAAAACTAAGGCTGGTTGCAGAGAGTTAACTTTTTTGTAGAATGATGAGAAACAAGTGCATGAGGTGAATAATGGGTAAAAATGTGAATATTTGGGAAGTGAGGGTGAAATGAGAGAAAACTGAAAGGTAATTTATGTGTTAGGAGGATTGTTGATTCATGCACAGGCCAACTGTTTGATAGTCTTGTTTCTTCAATTTTTAATGGGCCACATGAAACAGCACAATGTTATGTTTGGCTCGTCATGATCCTTTAAATAGTATTAAATGGCCAGGCCTTGGCCTCCCGTTAGGTGATGGTTTAGATATTTGGTCTCTAAGTTGGTATGTCCCTTGTTTAGCATGCCAAATTTAACAGATTGTCCCATTCTGATGAGTGCTTATTGCTTATGATTTTTTTTTAGGGGGTTTATTTATAATTAAATGAATATTGGCTCCATCTTGTTGCCTTAGCTTAAGCCGAGTGCAGTGCCTTTAGTTCTGAACTTTGGACTGAGGTAACCAGAGCAACCCGTGCTTGGCTCATTATCTACCCTTAAAGCTGTCTTTGTATTAATAAATCCCTATGTTTCTTGTTTTGAGTTTTTGACCATTGTGACCCTGCCTTATTTGCAGTTCTTGCCAAACCCCAATCTGAAAGAATTTATCTTTGTTTATTGGAATTAGGGTAGTTTTGTATGCCCGTATTTCTTACCCTCAAAAGGAGAGTAGTGCGTTACTCAGCCCCCTCACCCTCCACCCCCCTCTCAGGAGTAAGTATTCATAGGTAAAAGTATTCATTTTTCAACTATCTCATGTACCGGCCATTGACACGCCCTGTCTCTCTCTTTGAAATTTCTCCTTTAATAGTGGCTTTGATATGAAGTTTCCTCGTAATTATTGAAATTGAATATCTGGCTATATTCTAAAATGTTTATCAGTTTTTAGTTCTTGGATCTGCATTAGATTTGTGCTTTTGTTATTGAACTTTGTTACATTTTTTTTTAAGATTTTGCTTTTTTTTTGGTTTTGATAATCAAATTTGATGATTTAGCTTCATAATCTTTTTATACACCCTCTGTCCACATTAGTTCAAACACATAGCACTCCACAAGTTTTAAGGAGATTAGTTATTATCACGTCTCTGCCTCCCTCTAATTAGTATCCTGGTATCAATTGCCCCTATACAATATGTATGTATCCTTGTAATGAATCTGCCCGTACTAGGCAAGGCCTAAGTTTAACTGCTTGGTGGATTATTTGACATCAAGATCTCTTATAATTTTGTGTATATAAGATAAAGCTGCGATGCTTGTTCATGAATTTGCTGACCTAAAATTTTTAATCATATCACAGGTTACAAAATTGAGAGCAGAGACGAACCACACATTTTTGGAACATTCAGATTCTCGGGGTGAAGGGGAATCTGTTTCACTTATAAATAGGGAAGTTGCAATGAATGTTAATGACAACAGAGATTGGCCAAAGAAGTCGTGTCACAACATAATCTCAAAGAAATTCACCAGTACTCGGCCTTTCATTTATGCCATTGCTTTAGTTGCTGTTTGCTTTGGTGTATGTGCAGTTGTCTTGCACCCTTACAAAGTTACCAAATTTGCAGTAACTATCAGAAGGTGTGTATTTGACGATTCTTCATAGTTGTTTGGCTAAGATGGTCATCAACCTGACCATCTCTGAAGAATTAGCCTGGATGAATATAGTCAACAGAGCCCCGCCCCGATGCGATAATATCAATACCGCAATTCCATTGTAGAAATCGATTAGACGATTTCACGTTGTTGTGGTTATAACTGCAAACGAGCTCCGAAATGTTGCATATCATGCAGAAGCTATTATTTTGTATGAAAGTCGCTGGCCAGCCTGGTCTTGTACATATATATAATACTCTATATATATAAGCATGTCAAATGAAGTTAGTTAGGGATTTAAATTTCGACCTCTTTAGTTTTATGTATCATATACTTGTCAAAATGAAATGAGTAGCAAATCATTTGCCCCAATACAGTTGAAGTTGTAACTCATGACAAAAATTCATTGGAACGATGGGATCAATTGCATTCTGTCTACACATTATGAATGTAAATTAGATTACTTTGGGAAATTCTATGTTGTGGCCCTTTACTGTTGACTTTTTAAAGTTGTGTCCCTTCTTTTTGAAAGGTACACATTGTAACCCTCAAGTGTGTCTGGCGCAACATCATAAATGATTATATCTTTAAACTCTCTTAGCAAGTCATTAAGAGGCGAGCCAAACTGCTCAAATGTCGCCACACTGACTTTGATAGTCCGCTCCGGCCAAGAGCATCTAATTTTAAATTTATGTGCTCTCTTGCCGCCTAAGGCCTCAACGCCTCCAGCCATCAGTTAGTTGTTATTGTGGTTCTTGCTTGAATTTTCTCTTTTTGTCGGCCAATTGTTGAGTGGATGGCTCAGTTTTTTCTTCTTACTCGACCTCTTGTTGAGAGGGTGGGCTTTACAACCGTCACATAACAATCCCTAGCCATCTGTTGGTCGCCGGACATTGAGTTAATCCTGCCATTACTGCATTCAAACTTCATTAACATAAGGTAAGGGACTAAAACTCCTCTAGCCGCATTTAGTGTGGGTCGACCGAGTATGATGTTATAGGTAGTTAGGTCCTTCGTACACCACCAAAAATTGTATTATCATGTTCCTGCTCATGGTCGTCACCCAACCGGATGGGATGATCTATCCGACCGATAAAATGTATTATCCCCTCCCTCAAAACCTACTAGGGGTGGAAAACTTTCCCACAATGTGCTCTCATCTACATTCAAATTCTTCAAAACAAGATAAACTGAGTATGTTAAATGAGCTAGCCGTATCAACAAGTATCCGCCTAACTTTCATATTGGCCACCTTCAGCTCGACCAACATCGAATCGTCATGCGGGGTTTGCACTTGACCCTTGTCCGACTTGCATATTATGACTTTGGGGAATGACTCTTCCTTAATGCGACCGAACAACATGACCTGCTCCAAACTCTAGGCATAATGCTTTGCACCTTCAATCGTCGGCCGTCTAAGGCAAAACTGATTTGGGTAAAAATACCCTGGTCACGTGGCCCAATCAGAAGGTGACACGTGTCACCCTAGGAGTGGTCCCTAAGGGACCAATCAGCGGTTGACACGTGGCATCCCCTATTATTAAGGAAATGGTGGCCTTCAAAGGCCCAAATCCCGAGGCGCCGTAAAAATGACGCAACCCATTTACCTAGGTTAATAACCTAGGAAGAGGACGTTGATTCCCAATGCCCTATAAATAGGGACATTTACCCCATTTTGGGGGCACGTTCATTTATTGCATCAACTACAATTCTCTTACAACAGAGAAATCACCTGATCTCGGGATCCGAGAAGATTTATTTTACTTTCCGCACATTTTCTCAACTTCTACTCTTACTAACTTGATCGTCGGAGGTGGAACTCCGAACAACCGGAGCTTCCGTTTTTTTGCAGGTACAGGTGAAGACACATAAAAAACCTTGAAACATTTGGCGCCGTCTATGGGGAGAGTACCTTTAAGATGGTTACTCCAGAAACTGTACCAACTCCTGAGGACAAACGACCATCAGCAGAGGTCCATTCGGACCATGATACAGAGTCGGATCTAGAGGTCGAAGTATAAACGACCGAAGATGGATCCCTCATCACTAAACGCATCCGCCAAAAAGAAAGAAAGGAGCGGGGCAATAGTCAGGCGGGACCGAGCAAGTCAGCCGGTAAGCCTTAGGCTGAAGGGAAGACTACTCACATCACCCATGAAGAGTTCATGAAGTTTATGACAAGCTTCAAGGGTGAGATGAAGGACTTAATCACAAAACAGGCGGCTAGTCCAAGCAAGGGGAAGTCGGCCAAGAAGCCTTCTCACATGGAGAAGGCCAAGTCGGTTAGGGACAGACAACCCACTCCGCATCCCAAGCCGAAGGAGGGGGCCAGGCCTTTAAATGACTGGTCAAAATTTTGTTTCCCTGATTAGACTAAGAGGAAGCCCATCCGACACATAGAGCTGGATGACAGCAAGAAGAATTACACTAATGCTCGGCATCTCATCGAGCATAGGAGGAACAACCATCTTTTGGACACAGCATCAATGCCGAAAATGCTAGACAGCTTCAGAAATACCTCACTAAGGTATTCCTAATCTGCACAGGAGCATCTGTCAGGCGGTCAATCCGTCCATACAGGTCCTAATGTGATAGAATCGACGCCGTATGTACCCCATCAATCATATGGGTTGTTTGCCCAACAATTCCAGCAGCCTGCACTCTTCGGCGGACAGGCGGCATATAAAGTCCAACCCTTGGACTGGCAGCTCCGTCTGCTCAAAATTAGAGAACAACCCACTACGTTCTCCAAGGAAATAATTGAGGCGGCACAATCGGCCAAGGTTAAGAATGTCTTGGTTGGTGCCTATGATGGCACCACCAACCCAGAAGATCACCTAATGGCATATACCAACCTCATGTATCTACAGGGGTTGGATGATGATGCATGGTGCAGATGCTTCCAAGCTACACTGAAGGGCATTGCCCAACAGTGGTTCGGCAACCTGCATTTAGGTGCACAAACAATTTCAGGACGCTTGCATTCCTGTTCACCTCAAACTTCTCAGTGAACATACCGGCTAAGAAGACAAGCATTGACTTGGGCGTGGTTATTCAGGGAGACCGTGCGGGGCATTGTTCTTATGTCAGGCGGTTCAATCTGGTGAGAATCCAAATCTAGGGACTTTCTGACGAAGTTGCCTTTACAGACTTTTTTAAAGGTCTGAAGGATGGGTCGACCTTTAAGTTCGACCTTATCCAAAAGAGAATTTTCACTCTTCAGGAAGCGCTGAGGGAGGCAGAAGCCTATGTACAGGCGACTGAGCTCTGCTCCTCTAGCAAGCAGTCGGACTCTAAAAGGTCCGATAAGCAAAAAGGGAGTCGGCAAGATAGGAAACTGAAGAAAGCAAAAAGGGAAAAGATATCTGGGCGGTCGACAATTTTAGTTAGGCGTCCAAGAAGAAAAAGAAAGAAGTTAAGCCGTACGTCCCTAAGTACGAGTTTAACAAAGACTGTTACTCTATCCTCATGGAGATCAAACACCGGGTGAGCTATGAAAAGCCCTCAGCGATGAAAGGTCCGGCCAAGATAAAAGCAAGTACTACAACTTCCATGAGGATATAGGCCATAACACTAATGACTGCTATAGCCTCAAGCGATTATTGGATAAATTGGTCGCAAAGAGATTGCTAAAATCCTATGTTTTAAAGTCCAAGGTGACCCTGCAAACAGACCCCAAGCAGCCGTTAGAGAAGGCAGCTAAAGCTGATAGTGGTTCGGACACGAATCCGGACATGATCTGTACAATTGCAGGCGGCTTTGTTTTAGATGGCCCGACTATCAAAGGCACCAAGGACCATGTTAGAAAAATGGTTAAATTTTTTTACGAAGGCCAGACCTCTGCCGATCCGATACATTTTCTGAGGTCGTCATCTCTAAAAAGGAATGGGGCAAGGTCTGCCGGCCGCATGACGACCCCATTATCATTGAATGAAAGGTGGCTAACCAAAAGGTTAGTTGAATCCTTATTGATATCGGCAGTTCGTCAGACATAATGAAAGGAATGGTGTCTTTCGAACAAGTGTATTATTCCGATAGAGGCTTCGGAATTAATTAGGAAAGCTAATTATTTAGTGAAGTCAAGTGATCTGAATGCCTAGCCGGAGGCCGCTTCCGATCAGTAATATTAATTTATAATTAATATTACAGCTTGCTCTTGACTGAACCCTTCGGGTCACACCCAATTGTGTAACTGAACGAAGGCTACGAATTAATCCGAAGGATTAAATAAGTCGATAGAGATTTTACGAACGCAGACGTTGGATTCCGAGTTTAGAGCGTCGAAGCCGAGCGTCAAACATTGAGTTGATTCAACGAATCGAGACGACGAGAAAATAAGTCAAATGACAAGTCAAGGTGCGAAGACCTAGCCTCGCATTGGCCTAGCCAAGCGAGGGCTAGACGCGCAAGGCTAGCAAGGCTACTAGCCATGCGCTAGCCTCAACCGCAAGCCCAGTAGTCACGCTTGTATGCTTGTTGGGCGAGCTGGTTGGACAGGCTAGCTAGCAGCGTTAGCCCGCAAGCACATAACAAGTGTGTCAGGCCAACACGCCATTGCGTGCGGAAAGGCTGCTCGCCGAGTAGGCCCATTTGAGGGCTAAGGTTGCCAGCGCGGCATGCCTTGAGGCCCGAGGCTTGGGGCGTGCCATGAACATGGGGTTGGTAGGTTTTTCTTGCTCTCCAAGGATGGGTTTGTGGTCCTTACCTAACCTCTTTCCTTGGATTGACACTTGTCATTTGCTTATCGTTTGTGCTATTTAATTTAATTTGGAATTAAATTAATTAATTACTTTCTCATTTCAACAACTCTCCCACATGGAAAGATGATTGAAGTATTTGGGAGCCTTTGCCCATAAATACCAACTCTAGGAGTTGGGATTATTCACTGGAGTTGAACTCAATAAGGTATCTCCCAAAAGCGTGAGAAAGCCTTTAAGTTCGTAACACTCTAGTTTCTTTTGGTCTAGCTTTGTCTAAGCTACGATGTAGGGACTGTTCGGGCGCGTGGGTAGGCAAAGAAGGAGGATTAGCATTTGTGGGTCTAGAGCTTTCCGTGTTCGTGCTCGGGGTTCGTGAGAAGCACGCTTCAAGGGTAAGGAAGTCTTTTCCTTAATTTCTCTCTCTCCCTCTTTGTATTTTGTGTTTATATATTGCTTTTAATAATTGCATGTTAGGTTTTTTAGTTGTATTAATTACGCGTGCGATCCTTTGCGGTTTTGTTTCCGTGCGATTTTGAACACCGCAAAATCCAACAGCGGTATAAGAGCCTCTTGCATTTAATTTTTACAACTAAAAATTAATTAAGGTGATTTAAAATGGATTTAAATTTCTGGATTAGCAACCTAATTAGATTAGGACCTCGTTTTTAATTAGATTAAAATAGTATTATTGCTAATTTTTTACTACAAACCCAGATTTTGACCCAAAAATAGAGTTTTTTGGATGGAATCAATGTTCTAAATCATACTCTAAA